GGACTTCTGTATAAGACCGGAAGTGCTGATCAACCAGGCCGTGTGCCATTGATCGAAACAAGTCAGAGGGAGCAACGTCTGGAGAATACGACGGGTGGGGTAGGACTTCCTACTTTCAACGTTTCCAAGTATGTCTTGACCACTTTCGCAACATGGGGTCGAGCATTGTCATGCTGCAAAATCACTTTATTGTGTCTCTCGTTGTATTGCGGCGTTATATTTATTTGTCTTTCAATGCTCGTCTCAAACGCATCAATTGCTTTCGATATCGATCGCCTGTGATTGTTTCAATCGGTTTTAACAGTTCATAATACACTACGCCGAGCTGGTCCCACCAAATACAAAGCATGACCTTGGACGTCAAAATCACCGTTCTTGAAGCGTTGAAACCACTCACGACACGTTCTTTCACTAATAGCGGTCTCATAAGTATTTGAGAGCATTCGATGAGCTTCAGCCGCAGATTTCTTCATATTGAAGCAAAAAATTAAAACCTCCCGCAAATGACGAGAATTTGGCTTGTAAACTGACATTTTCAATCGAGGATAACTTTATGATGCAGACACAAATCGACTAATGTTTCTATGGGGTTATGTTGACAGATGCCCAAGTTTATTGTATGACGTCTGTGGTCTATTTATTTCGACCATCACTTACCGCTAAAGCCTAGGAAAACGGCGGAAGCAAAATTGTACACCTAATAGGTTTACATGCATTTCCTTGCATTGTGGTATACTATGACATAAATCCTAATAAAACGATATTGATGCTAAGAATAAAAATCTAGATCACGTCAGTATTCTACATTAATGTTCTATGTCAATCCATCAATATTAATCACATACAATCAATAATAATATTGTCAGTGTCACATTGTCACTTGTTAATACTGACAATATTATTGACTGTCTAGGATCACCTTTAAAATTGAGGTCTTCTTGATACACATTCTTTTGTCCAATATAACCGCTTAAGTTATCAAGTCATAATAACATTCATTTGATATAAAATTTCTGCAACCTGTACTTACGAAGGAAATTAGTAGATTACTCAAAGAAACATCGTAAAATTTTTAGAATTAGACTTAGATATCTAATCCTATACAAAATCGTTCTACAAAATTGGTACTCAAAAAGTACCGGGACTGATCCAATAAAACGCAAAATATGAAAATTCTTCCAAATTTATTTTATACCTTTTAAAATAATCCTCTCCCATACGCGCGCGCACACACATAGCATTTATGCCAACATTTTTTCCAATTCTCGAAGCACCTTTCATATAATCGATTTCAGGTATAGCCTTCAGAACGCGCAGCGAATTCTCCTTTATCGCCGTCTATCGATTCAAAACGGTGTCCACGAAGCAGTAATTTCAGTCGAGGAAATAAGAAAAAAAATCACACGAATATTAAACAAATATGGAGGTTATGGAATAGTATTCGTAAGATTTTAGCCAAAAAATCACGAACAAAATAAGAAAAAATCCTGCATTTCTATAACAATAATACAAAATGCGATACATCTCACGCTCAAATTATCTTTTAAAATCGATTGACATAAATGATATTCCAACATGTTCAATCAATCTCGAATTGTCAATCGTCAATCACTGAGCACTATATTTTTGGAGCGCACAATATAAAGGCAGCGTGCGTGCGTGCGTGCGTGCGTGCGTGCGTGCGTGCGTGCGTGAGAGTGCGCGCACGTGATATTAATGTAGTAATGACATGTCGACGCACATAAATCATTTGTAAGTCCTACTGTCAGTAAAACAAACTCCTTAATACATGTATATAAAATTTCATTCAATATATTTATACTAAAGCATCAAACTTAAAACTTAAAAACATTAAACTTTAAACATCAAATCAAATGTACTGAAGTAATTTCATATTTCATAACTATATACATATTTCATACCTAATTATTATTGTAATTTATGTGCGTATCGCTTTGCTAAAATACATTTTTTGATATAAAATGGATTGACTATTTTCACAATAATACTTTTAAAAATAAAGGCAATAACGATTTATACTGCTATATATTTAACGAATTATATTAAATATAATTTAAAAACTAAGTATTAAATTTGCTTTGATCATTTTCAACATATTACAATATCTCTTCGATCACGTTTTATATTCTTTTCAATAGAATCAAGAACTCATTGGTATAAATAATTAACTAGTTTTCCACTGCTTAATTATTTATTTAGTGATTATTCGGCAAAAAAAAACATGTTTATCCTAAATGTAATTCAAAGTGAATATTTACATAGTAATTTTGATAACGTGATAAAGTGAATATTTACACGGCCAGTAATTTTGATAACGTAATTATATTATTAGTAACTGCAACACGAGCTGTATGCCTGTATAAGTATTATATAGAAGAATATTATATATAAATATTACACAATTTGATTCAAGGCAACACTAAGAGAACTAATAAGATACTGAATGGAGGGGTTCTGTTCCAAACTAATGTGATCAAATGTAAAGATTTTCATCTCTCTCTCCCCCCCCCCCCCCACAC